TGATTTTTAAAACTACAAACCGTACATGCTGTTCAGACGCTGTATTACGCCAAACTACGGAAGGCAACCAAAATAAGCAAAGGGGTTTGGAAAACTTACTTTTTAGCTCCTCTATCATCTTGGTCGTGTGGTCCCGGAGCTGCGACTAGTCATGCGCCAGTTTTCTGTTGTCCTCTTTCAGGCGATCACACTCCACGACCGCACGACTGTTCTCCTCTCGGAGACGGACCACTTCGGCTTCTAAGCCTGCACTACAGCTGTTACTATCAACAACGCAACAATTGTCAGTATTCGTTGTGATAAAGTGGCTACTTACTTGTTCTTTCCTGCTCTTTATTACCGAAAATTTGGACGACCAATTCACGGTTACGGGACTCTTGCTCCGTCTTCTCATGGTTGGTGGTTTCAAGTCATTTGGCATAAGCGTTCCACCTCCGCCGTCGACTCCTTGTTGCTTGCGGTGATCCCCTCGATCCTGGTTGAAGCATTTCTTGCGGTACCTTGCGGTCTTCATTAAGTCCACGTGTGCGAGATAGCTAAGTAAGATAGCTTGACCAGACAGCAAGATCAGGTGGTGAAGCAAAGCCTACCTAGACCTCCGTCACCAGCCGTTTCGCCACCCGTTCGACTTTCTTGGTCTCTTCAACCTCTGGGATTTCCTCGTGAACAACCCATTGGTCGTTCCGCCAACGTGACACATACACATGTTGTCGCTTGTCCTGTGGATGGCCCAGGACCTCCTCCACTTCGTCCTCTCTGGGCTCTTCTTGGTCTCGGTCTTTGGTCCGGGAGTTAGCGGCTTCTGCGATCACTATGGCCTTCCATGGGCTCTGACATCGACAAACATGTTACGTGCTCTCACCTCCGGCATTTGCTCCTCGGTGCATTCCGTTACCCTTGATCTTTGAGGTGTTGCCCTCGGCGAGGTTCAAAGGTCTTTCGGATCACTCGTGCTTGGCTCGGCTCTTCCCTCGACCCCCAACGCCGGGGACTGTTGTCTCGATTGTTTGTTTCTTTGAGGCCCCAGCGGATCTTCTCGCTATGGGTTCCTCTATGGCATTACTTTGGGCGATCTGTTACGAACTTCTTGGCGGAGCCATGCCGCTCCCAGCTAGCTGGTCCGGACTCTTGGTGGACGCCGAACTAGTACATCCGAGATAAGTTCAGAAGACAATCATATTCAATGCAAATTGCTAGCTTACATCAAGGTCACAAATACTTACATGTTGGAAGCGCGGAATGATGTGGCGAAGGCGCGTCTCTTCGACCGTGCTTGCTCCACGTGCTGTGCGGGTGACTCCTGGTCTCCCTCTACATCCAACACTATCGCTGGGCCTTGGTGCTCGACCCCTCCACCGCTTGTCCTTCGCGCTGCTGTGGTCAGCGATATAGGTCCCACCGACACGGAGGAGCCACCTTGCTCCATCGACTCCAGTTGCCTTCTCCTCTTTCGAGGGATGAGTCGAAGGGTGCCTGCATCCTCTCCCTCCTCTGCGTCATCGTCCGACAAAGTAAAAATCGCCTGACAACGCTTGCTGGCCGCCGATCGCTTACCAGCAGCTTTGGCCGCTGCCTCTTCTCTAGCTCCGAGCACCGCCTAGTCGACGTCCTCGATCCCGATGCTGGTCTGGGTGGCTGGGACAACTCCTTGTGGCCAATCTACTCCAGGGGGTGGCGACACAAATACTGTCGCTCTATCCTGACCATTAATCTGGGAAACAAATGGGAGTGAACACAGTAAGTTTCTACCACAATATGAGACTACGGGTACAAGGTAAGATGAGTTACCTTTGGGGGAGATCGAGCGAGCTTGAAAGCGTGCTCGATGTCGCTCAATCTGACATAATTTGGATCAGCTAAGTTAAATAGCTCTCTAATTCTGGCTCTGACTTCGCTTTTGTTAAGCGCCCCCTGCCTCGTCCTCGTCGGGTCCGCGCTACCTTGATACTCGTAGCCAGGATGTACCCTCCTCTGGCAGGGCTGGATCCGTCGGCTGATGAAGCTCCCGACCACGCTCGGGCTGTCCAGTTTTTTCCACGGGATCATCCCAAATATTTCTAGAATCTGTTTTAGGTGCTCGGGCTTCTCTGACCAGCTTGTCCTCTTCTCCGGAATGTACCCCACGTCGCACAGCGTGATCATGTTTGGCTCTTCGCGGATGTAGAACCATTTCTTGTACCAGTCGTCAACGACGTGTTCCATGGGCAGTGCAGGTACTGGGCTTTCATGCCGTCGCGGAGGTTGAGGTACACACCTCCGGCTATCTTCGAGTCGCCGCTTCCTTTTTTCCACAGACAGAAAAAGATGGCGGAAAAAATCGAAATGGGGCTGGAAGCCGCCATATGCTTCGCAAAGATGAATGAAAGTGGCGACAAGGAGGATCGAGTTGGGATGTAGATTGCAAATCCCAATCTCGTAGTAAAGACAGAGCCCCTGAAGAAAAGGATATACCGGAACCCCAAATCCCCGTTTGAAGAAGTCTTCGAACACCACGATCTCACCTGGTTGTGGATCGGGGTACCCCTCGCCCTCAGGCGCACACCATCCTGCGAGCTCCTTGTTGTGGAGTACTCCCATGGTGACGAGGTCTTCAATGGTCTGCTCGTTGCTTCTCGATTTCCACCACTCCTTCGCCATGACTCCTGCTTTCTTCTGTGCGTCACTTTTCGCCATGAATTTGGCCTTGCTGATGAACGAGGAACCGGCGAAGGATTGATTGGTGGTGATTTCGGAGGTGTTAGGGTTGGCAAGAGGAAGAAGATGGTTGCGGCTGTGAATGGCAATGGGGTTCAGTAAAATGTAAACTTACCTATCCTATACTGTATTTAACCCAAGAGTTATGCCGTTTAAATGCGCCGCCGAGATTCTTGGGAGGCGATGCGCTGCCGTCATGACGATTGTTTTCACAGCCTCGAGATCTAGGCCAATACGTGCGCCTCTTCGTTGCTAGTGTATGAGCCTCTTCGTTGCCAGTGGGAGAGGGCCCACGTTGATGCACCTATTTACAGGTGCCACACAACTGTTTGCTTGAGAAGACAAGAAGGCAGTATGACGTGCTATATCCGTCTACTTTTTTGACCAGACATGTCAGATTGTACTTGACAGGGCAAGTAATTAAATAAATACAAAAGATAATAGTACAAGTGGCATATGGTTTTTCGCCGCACTTCTCGTGCTCAGGGACTGTCCAGACCACCGTTGTGCTCGGGGACTGTCCAGACCACCATCGTGCACAGGGACTGTCCAGACCACTATCGTGCTCGGGGACTGTTCCGATCACTCTCATGCTCGGGGACTGCCCCGACCACTCTCCGAACATTGCTCGGAGACAGCTCTCCTCGGCTACATGTGATTTGTACTCACATACAGTTGAGAGGCGCTTATTTAGACCTTGCTACAAGGTTGCTACCTCGCCTTCCAGCAAGCTCGGGGACTACATCGGTACGATGCACCTGCCGGTGCATCTCGTATTGCTTGTACGACGATTGGATTCTCAACTTCAGTGGGAATTCTTTTTAGACCCTGGCACCACGTGCCCGCGTCACCTACTACCAGGCTCGGGGACTAAGTGGGCACACTTCACCTTGCGATGAATATACTTATTTTATCGACCCCTACGCTCTGATTGTTGGCCATAATTACTATTGTCCAAGGGTCACTTATATTTGTTTTCAGAAATACAAGTGGGCACACTTGATAAGGAAAGAAATCTTTTACTTTTTTCTTTAGAGCACCATGCATTCTTCGGACAACCGGAATCTTCGGCTATAATCGTGGTCTACTGCTTTCTGTTCTGACCAGAATACTGGCACATTCGCTTAGTCAATGTTTCAACCAGTTGGAGATGACATGAAGACGGATCGCATTAGCCGAAGGAGATCGAACGGCGTGTCGCAGCATAATACATGATGCTCGGGGACTAGCTGTGGGGGTATTAACCCCTATACCCTTACGGCTAGGCTTGGGCCGGCTCAGACCAGGAGGTCTGGCCCACTAGAAGACGACACGCGGCCCGACCAATTTGTTCGGAGTCCCGCGCAATGAATCAAAGCAGATTTGGAGATCAAGCAAGATCCTGGTCGGTTAGAATATGAATCCTTATTCGGCCACCTATGACAATTGTAACTGGTTATGATTAGTTTCCAGATCTGTAACCCTGCCCCCCAGACTATATAAGGCGGGCAGGGGACCCTCTAAAAAACATCTCTCATTGACATACAGCAATACAATCAGACGCAGGACGTAGGTATTACGCCCTCACGGCGGCCGAACCTGGATAAAACCTCGTGTCTGTCTTGCGTCACCATCTTGTTTGTAGCTTGCGCATCTGTCTGCCGATAATCTACTACCTTGGGCATACCACTAGATACACTGCCGACCATGTTTCGTCGACAACCACCAAATCACCGGCTCCGTAGAAATAAAAAAAAGGGAAAAAGCTCAGCCGACCATGTTTCGTGGGCAACCACCAAATCACCGGCTCCGTAGAAATAAAAAAAAGGGAAAAAGCTCAGCCGCATGGTATGGAGGGAAGTGGGGTCCTGTAGCAGGGACAGTAGATTTCTAGGGAACCGAGCGAGCTAGGCGAGGAGCGAAGCGCTAGCGAGCAGTTTTTTAGATGTTCTCTCTCCTCTAAGTAAGCAAATAGCTAGGAAGTTGTAGGGGATGCCCTGTTATTTCGAAACGTGTAATGGTGCCGATTGCTGGCCTGATGTATAATGCAAGCCATCCTTTGCTCTTAAAATGCCTGTTGCCAGCTTGGTTTTGCTGCCATTGCAAGACGATTGACTGCTGATCTTGCAAGTTTGGAATGGATTTTCCATAATGCATGTGTGCCGTGCGCGTACGTTCCTCTCCATCCAAGGTTTTGGATAGCTTTTGTCGCCTACATGTTCAGATGCTCGCTCGGTGCGTGTATATATACATATGCACCACCCACTCCTGCGTGCAAACAAGTTTCACAGTTCCAATCCAAACACGTCCGATCCAGAGATCGAGAGATGGCCGGCACTGCCCAGGGCGCCGTGGACTCGCTGCTGGGCCGCCTCTCGTCGGTGCTCCTGGAGGAGGCGCAGCTGCTGCGCGGCGTCCGCGGCGACGTCGAGTTCATCAAGGACGAGATGGAGAGCACGAACGGCTTCCTCCTCGACGTCGCGGCCGCCGACCGCCCCAACCACCAGGTCCGGGCCTGGGCCAAGCAGGTCAAGGAGCTCGCCTACGACTCCCAGAACTGCATCGACCGCTACGTGCAGTGCGTCTCCGACGTCCCCGGCGCCGGGGCCGGCTTCGGCGCGGGCGTCCTCGCCACCCTCCGGCGCGGCCCGCGCCTGCTGAGCACCATGCCGGCCCGTCACCGCACCGTGGTGCGGATCCGGGAGCTCAAGGCCCGGGCGCGTGACCTGGGCGAGAGGCGGCACAGGTACGACGTCACCGTCCCACATGTGGCCGCTGCCGCCGCCGCGGAGGACGAGCAAGACGACGCGCGGAGGCGAGCTCTGGCGAACGCCACGGAGTTCCTGGACGAGGACGTCCGGGAGGTGATCAGCTGGCTGACCAAAGACCTGCCCCGCGGCCATCCGCAGTGCTGGCTCCGGGTCATCGCCATTGTGAGGAGGCAGTACCAGGAAGACGAGTACCCGCTCACGAGGAAGGTCTACGAGCATCCATCCTTGTCGAGCTGCTTCCATCTCAAGGCATGGATCAATGGCATCGAGAAGTACATGAAGCGCAAGGAGACGCTCCAGTGCATACTGGACCAGCTGCCCGCACTGGATGATGATCATGATCATGCAGACAAGTTAGCGGCAGGCGATGGCGACATGGATGAGGAGGAGCATCAGTTGGTGAAGAAGCTCAAGGATCGTCTCAAGGGCAAAAGGTTCTTGATTGTCGCCGCTAACGATCCATATGGAAAGGTGCGGGCAGAGATAGAATCTGTGGCTGCTAGCCATGGCGATCCCTTTTCAGCTGGAAGTGCCATCATTGTGACGACATGGCGGGAGCCGTTGTCGGTTCCCTACAAGGTCAAGAACTATCTCAACATTGACACCCTTTTCCACGAGAAAGCTGTGGCACTAGTCGGTGACCAGTGCGACAGCGATCTGCAGGAGATCATAAGGAAGATACTCACAAAGCGTGGAGGGAACTTCTTCTCCATGGAGATGTTCCTCCACGCGCTCTATGTCAATCCCAAAAGACCCAAAGAGCAGCTTCAGATTTTGCTGGACAGCCTCACATTTGGGAGCATCATTGCTACACACATGATACTCTTCTCCTACAATGACCTCCCGAGCCATTACAAGAGCTGCCTGCTGTACCTGTCCATCCTTTTTGAGAGGATGTATCTGACATCCAGCTCTCCACAGGATTTCAGAGTCAAGAGGTCAAGCATTGTAAGACGATGGGCGGCTGAAAACCTCATCACCAAAAGAGATGGGCTGGTTGCAACTGTTGAGGCTGAGCGCTATTTTCATGCGCTCCTAATCCATGGTCTAGTTCGTCCTGTTGACATCGGTGCTATAGGCAAAGTGCAGACCTGCATGGTGCATCATTGGATTCTGTCATTCATTACCTGCCTCCTAACTTGGCTTCTCGCCTTTCTATCTGCAATGGAATCAGGCTGCAACAACTCCAGCACCACAAAATGAAAAATGTAAAGGGTGCTGAACAATCCACCGGCTGCTGTTGGCGAAACATCCATGAGCGTCCCATTCCCATAGAAGATCCAGAGGATTCTAAATATTTCATGGAAATGGATTACACGGAAGCATTTCTTGAGTTGCTGCAAGTATCTCCTCCATTAGGATTCGTGGAAGTGCTGGACCTAGAAGGATTCAAAGGGTTGAAGAAACACCACCTCAAGGACATCTGCAACAAGGTATATCAGCTCAAGTATCTGAGTATAAGGAACACTGATATCACTGAGCTCCCAAAGGACATTGAGAAGCTCAGATACCTGGAGACACTTGACATCAGACAAACCAAAATACGGACATTGTCCTCAAAAGCTGCCATGCTACCAAAGCTGATGCATCTACTCGCCGACAATGTTGAACATCAAAGAAAGGATGCTGCCTCTGGGTCAGGGGGCAGGTCATTTTCCACTGTGCAAATGCCTCGTGGAATCGGGAGCATGACAGATTTGCAGATTCTGTGCCATGCTGAAGTCTTCAACAGTGCTGATGAATTGATGGAAGTTGGACGGCTGCAACAACTGAGAAAGCTGGGTGTGGTTCTCCGTGGCAAGGAAGCTCATCTTGGTCATTTTCTACGGGTGATTGAGAGGCTGAATGAATGTCTCTGCTCTTTGTCGCTCTGAATTGAGCTAACTAGCAGCAGCGAAACTCCTGACCTGAACATGGAGAAGACTGCATTCTCACCCCCAAAATTACTTGAGAGCCTAACCATCAATGGCACCATAACCAGGCTGCCTAGTTGGATCAAGGAGCTTCATCTACTTTCCAAGATAACTCTATGTGGTACTTCCTTGATTGACAATGCCATCCGGAGTCTTGGTGAGCTCAGCAGCTTGCGGTGCCTCAGGCTCTGGCACAAGTCATACATAGAAATGAGGCTCACCTTCAAGGATGATGAGTTCCAGAATCTCAAGTACCTTGTTGTCGAGGGCTCAGACATCACCACGATCCATTTCGAGAATGGAGCTACTCCTAAGCTTGAGAACATAGTTTGGGATTTCACGCAATTGGTATCTCTTTCTGGAGTAGAAAACCTTCCAGGTCTGAAGGAGATTGAGCTTAATGGTGACTGCAATCCATATTCAATCATACAAAACATGGCAGCACATCCAAACCATCCTGTTGTCATACATAATGCCAATCCATGAGGTGCCCAAATAATCGTTCTGCGTGTTTTTAATATATCTGCCTGTCTCTGTTGTTCATATGCTGTTCATATATGGTTATGTTGATATATAAGTGTGAGTTGTATCTGAATGAATATAATGCTGTATATATGTATTGTACTGTACTACCTAGCTCTCTGATTTGTATGGGTGTAACTACGATGGTGTTGATCAATAAGGAGTCACATAACATCCTACTGAAATCACTGGTTTGTCATTTGTCAGTACAGATAACTTTTCTTTTCCTATTTAGAGTATAATTGTTTTTCATTGCAGTCACTATATATCATGTTGTGATGTGTAAATGTTACTACTAGAATAATGTTCCAGAACAATATATCTCTTTTTCTAGAGATTGTTTCTTGAAGGCATTATGGATCACAAATACAGAGCCTATCCAAAATGCATACACAGGTTCTATGTGCTCTAAATTGATTCCTTTTTTCACAATATAATCCAACATAATAATACCACACTATGTCTTTACACACATATAACAAGTTTGTTTGTTTGTTTTATTAAAAAGGGAGTCATAAGGGAAAACGCACTGCCACTAGTGTGGTGGGCTCTAGTGCTTTTGTATTGCTTCAAAATGCACAACGAGTGTGCAGTGCTGTTTTCTCTGTTGTTTCAAAATACAAGTATGAAGCACGGGCAGTTGAAATTGAATCGAGCTTCTGAATTCCGCAAATATAAATTGCACACAACCGGAGCCTTGAGAAATGAGAAACAGGAGTACTACCTGCTTACGTTGCAGCGCCGTGGTGGGTGGCTCCTGCCCGTGCTTCGCTCAGGCTTAGCTGGAGTCCGGCGCGTAGCAACCTGGCCACGCCGCAAGACCGTCAGGCACCTCGGGCGCCGACCGCTAGGACTGCCCTCTGCTCTGCGCTCTCCGCCGCCGCGACTGCCACGCCGGATTTGGGTGGATGAAATGTAACGGCTGCAGCAAGAGAGAGACGGGGAGTGGCGTTCCGTGGGCTTCTACTAATGGGCCTAATATCTACAAATATGGGCCCATCAACCCCAACTTCACGGCCCAGTTACCACATGCAGGTGCGCAAGATATGATCCGTATCTGATACGGGAGGCAACAGCGCCCGGACGTCCGGTCCTTGCCGCGTGTCATGACGAGCTCCCCACTTGTACGGTACGATCCACAAGAGCCCATCCAATACGAGCGACTCACCCCAGCCTTCCCACAGTGTGCTCGTCCACAAGCGCAGCGCGTGCTGGCCCCAGCCCCTGGCGCGCCGCGCGCTCCGTCCGCAGCCCCCAGGGCACCGCGCCCCATCTCCCGGCCCCAGCGCACCCCTTCTGTAGGCCCCCCGGCTCGCCATGCCCCATCTCCTGGCGTCCGGGCTGTGCCCGATGACTCTCTGAACGTATCTCTGAAACATGAAATATTTGCGACATAAAAACACTTGAATGCAACATACGTCTAAAGGAGATGAAACATTTGGTACATACACATGCAACATATGTGTGAAACATATGCAACATCCAGATTAAAACCCTTGCAACTTGCAACATTAAAATATTTACTACAACATAAGATTAAAATAGCTAAAACATTTTGAACATACTGTTGCAGCACATGTGTGAAACATATGCAACATTCAAATGAGAACACTTGCAACATACATTTGGAACAGATAAAACATTTTGACCAAACGCTTGCAACATGCCTCTGAAACACTTGCAACATATGCAACATGTGCAAACATCCTGGATCTACTTTTGCAACATCCATATAAAACAATTGCAACATACCTCTAAAACATTTGAAACACTTGAAACATGCATTTGTAACATAGCAGAGTGGAGGCCTATTCCGGTCGATTCGGACCGTCGGGGTAGGAGACAGCGACGAGCGGCGGCGCGCGACCACCACCATCATCTGGCCACGCTCGTGGGTGCCCTAGGCGCCCCGGCCTGTGCGCCCAGCGGACATTAGAAGAGGGGCGGCGGCGAGGCATCCCAACGGCGTTGGGGGTTGGGGAAGAGGCCGGGGAGACCCTCTGCCGTCAGCGGACGCGAGAAAGAGAGCGAGAGATGGGAGAGCAGAGGCAGCGCGCGGGATGGGGCCGCGGCAAGGGATGGCCGCGACGAGCGGGCTGCGTGACGCGGAGGTCGAATCCGCGCGGACCGAGTGCACGACGGGCGAGCGAGGGATGGGATAGAGCAACTATCGCGGCGCGAGGCGTGCGGTGCAGATGGGAGCGAGCAGCACGAGCGGAAGCGGCAAGGCGAGGTGTGGTGTGCGGCGTTCGGACAGACAAACGCCTGCGTGGGAGCATTGTCGATCCGATATTCATAAGCAAATTGAGGATTTCTTTTTAAATTTTTTACAGAAAATAACGTTTGATTTTTTGTTTCTGTGATGACTAAATAATGATAACACTCCCTCAAAAACAAAAACCAACACTAAAAGCTATTCTTTTACTGAATTATGATTCAGGTCTAGGGCTAGATGGGTTCCAGCAGAGTTTTATGTCAAAATTTCTTATTTGGTCCTGATTTTTTGGCTCTGAAATAATTTTTCTTACCTATTTGGCCACATTTGAACTTTTGATTACTGATCTGGTCCTACGGTCATCTTTTGGCTCTAACACCGTTAAGTGGTACGTGAAACTACCAAATTACACCTAAGATATTATGAGGAACCAACACTACTACAGGAAATTTCACGAAGGCGAGTATTTTGGCTTAACCGAGGCGGGCAAGCCAATCGCCTCAGTGCAAAGATCACGGTTAATCGTGGCTTAACCGAGGCGGTTGGCCAACCGCCTCGGTTAATAGAATGACCGAGGCGGGCATTATAAGCCAACCGCCTCGGTTAATACGGTTATCCTAAAGAGCCCGCCTCCGTTAAACATTTAACCGAGGCGGTTTGCTAAAGGCGTCTGCCTTCGTTAAACCTTTAACGAAGGCGGCTGTTATTAATTGCCCGCCTCGGTTAATGATTTCCAGATTAATAAAATGCTTTTTCAAATTTGAATTTCGCTAATGAAAACACAGATAAAGCAAAAAATAGATGACAAACATATATTATATTCATTCTCGTTCGACGAACTAACATAGAGTTATTACATTAGAGATGTCTTCATCATTGTTTCACAAACACACATCATTTATACATGAGCAACTAAGATCAGTCATACATATCAACCTTTCTTGGAAAAGAGGTCCGACAAAATGTAATCCGAGATTCATAACTGGGTGCTCCAGTTTCTGATCCTCTCGAACTTCGGATCCCGCCTCGGTTAATACTTATTAACGGAGGCCTTTGTCTTAGGGAAATTAACCGAGGCGGTTACGTTAGGGCATTAACCAAGGCGGTTAAGTTACACTGCCCGCCTCGGTTAAGTATTAACCGAGGCGGTTGCTGGGCCGGCTGCCCTGCCTCGAATAACCGAGGCGGACAACCTCCAGTCTCGGAGCCCCATTTGAAAACATCTCGCAAAAGTTTTTGTGTAGTAGTGCAAAAAGGCAAGCAGGTCTAAAATTCAACTTGGTGGGGGCATTTGTTTGATGAATTTTTGGCCGGTCTAAAATTCTCCGTGTATGCACGTGCACTTGTATTTTTTTTTTGAGCTCCACGTAGACCTGTATTTGTGCATGCTACTAGTAGGTGTGCAAAAGATAAAAAGAGAATACAGTGCGTGCATGGGAAAGGAACTGGCCACTATGCACTATGGCTGGCTGGGTGGCCGCCCTCGTTTGCAGCGCCTCTACGTACACGCACGCGTACACCATGAGCCGGCCGCCGTATATACATACGCGTATAGATTATGCTGGACCCATAAGGCAGTCGCCGCGGCGCGGCTCGGCTCGGCACATGGTTCGCCGGAACATTCTGCAAGCTCTCTGGTATACGCCTGCCGTCGATATATGGATTACGGGGCGATGTATGTGTGTTGGCTGCAAAATTATGTTGGTATGTTGCATGCTTGCTTTTTGGTTCCTTGTAATATCCTAGGGATAAATTGGTCATTTCATGTATCACCTAACGGTGTTAGATGCAAAAGATGACGGAAGAGCCAGATTGGTAATCAAAAGTTAAGTGAGGCCAAATAGCTAATAAGAGAATTTATTTTAACTTTTCAAGGCTAAGAAAGAAAGACAAGTTTTAATCCGGGCCAAATAAGAAATTTTCTCAAGTTTTATCAGGTATCTTGGTTCTATTTGATGCATTCCATAAAGAGATCTTTTCCCGCCATAGTCTAAATTTTGGAATGAACTGCCATTTTACTGTCAAGAAACAATGCCGCAAAACAAGTTCAACAATATAGACTAATCTTTTGTTGAACTAAGTTTCAAAACTTTTATGAAAATGAACACTAACATAATTGCACAAAAAGTTTTTAGACCTTAACAAATAACTGTCCTTCCTGGGAAAACATTAATGAAGAGGCAAGTCTAGAGGAAACAATACATGAGCTTCATAGGGAAAAAGACAAAATGGGGTCATATTTAAGATTATACCTTTGATAATAGCATATGATAAGTGAGATGGATTTCCTCTTGCAAACTTTGACTAACGAGTTTCTCGAATATCTAGTAATACACAGATGATATGGTGATTTTCTTATACTATGACATGGAACAAGCAAAGAACATGAAGTGATTACTTTGCACATTTGAGCAATCATCTAGACTTAAGGTAAGCTTTTACAAAAGTGAAGAAATACTCTATTTTGGATAGCAAAAGATTGTGAAATGCAATATTCACCTATAGAACTGATATTTACCATTTCCGCTATATGGACCTACCAATGCACTTTAGAAAACTTAATAACAAAACTGTAAGGCTGTTAAGGAAATAATTGAGAAAATGTTATGTAGCTAGAAAATAAAATTACTTTCACTAGGTGGAAGATTAGTGTTGATTAACTCCATTCTGGCCAGCTTACCTTTGTTCATGCCATCCTTCTGTGAGATCCCTCGGGGAATCTAAACCAGATATTATAGATCCACATTTT